GGAAAGGGGATTCTCCTTCCAAAAAAAAAGTGTACACCCTTTCCCCTATCCCCCCTCCTGTCTTCCCCACGCAGAAATTTTTCAGTAAAGGTAAGTGTAATGTTATTATTTATTTATTTTAAATGCATGTACTTGATTTCTGATTGTTTTCATTATGTAAATCTTTATTTAATTTGAAAAAAAATATTTTATTTTAATATTTTTGGGTGTCTGGAACGGATTAATTTTATTTCCATTATTTCTTATGGGGAAAATGGTTGCGAGTTTCGTGAATTTTGACCTTCGGCGGGCTCTCTGGAACGGATTAATCACGAAACTCGGGGGTCCACTGTATGTACCTTACATAATAAGTTTTCAAAGGAACATGTACTGCATATGCCAAGGATATGGACACTTCTGGTGTTATGGGTTTAATCTTAAGCAAAACTTGCGGAAGAGAAACTTGTGCAAAGTGTGATTAAAGGAAGGTAATACACCTTGAAAGAAATTAAAAAATATATATATTCAATCAATGTTAGTACATCAAAATGTAATGTACACATGTCAATTAGAGGAAAAACCCACATGGAGACAAAACCAGGAAGAATAGTTCTCTGTATATTTCAACCTCCAATTGACAAAATTGGAAGTCTAAATATACAGATAACTATTCACATAATGCATGGGACACAAACCCAAGTCCTAAAACTAGCAGGCCAGGACACTAACCACTGTACCATGCCAGCCTTTTAAGCCTAGTCCAACCAGATATGTTTTATTTCTGGAAACTGACTGGCAATGTTTTGCACACACAATAGGCCTTTTCAAGTCATTTGAAAAGCCTCTGTTTCTATCATATCATTACTTATAGTATTTTTTCTCATAAGTATATCTCTATATCCTAAGAATACAGTGGTACCCCGAGTTTCGGCCGTAATTCGTTTCAGAAGGCTGTTCGAGTGCTGTTACTGAATGAATTTGTTCCCATAAGGAATAATGTAAATTAGATTAGTCTGTTTCAGATCCCAAAAAATACACTTACTAAAGCACTTACAATAATACATTTACATAATTGTTCAAGTTGGGAGCTGTAAGAAACTCGGGGGTACCACTGTGTTATCGCTATGATTGGGTGGATAGGAAAGCAATGTGGCAGATGTTGCAAATGAACAGAATAGGAATAAGTGGTAGATTGACTGAAAGCAGTTAAGAGTTTTTATGAGGATAGTGAGGCTCAGGTTAGAGTATGTAGGAGAGAGAGAGATTACTTCACAGTAAAAGTAGGCCTTAGAAAGGGATACGTGATGTCACCATGGTTGTTCAATATATTTATGGATGGGGTTGTAAGAGAAGTGAATGCTCGGGTGTTGGCAAGTAGTGTGGGATTAATGGGGAACAAGTTTGGACAGGTATGTAAAAGAAGGAAATTAAAAGTGAAAGTAGAAAAGAGCAAGGTGATGAGGATAACAAAAAATTAAGGTAATGGAAGATTGGAGGGAGAGAGTATGGAGGAGGTGAATCTGCCTACCTGGAATCCACCTGGAGGGTATTACGAGGATCAATGCCCCCACAGCCTGGGGGGTATTGATCCTCGGGTTGAACCAGGGCTTGATCAACTAGGCTGTTACTGCTGGCCACATGCGTTCCAACACATGAACCAAAGCCCAGCTGATCCAGCACTGACTTTAGGTATCTGTCCAGCTCCTGCTTGAGGGTAGCCAGGGGTCTGTTTATAATTTCCCTTATGGCTGGTGGGAGGCTGCTGAACAGTCCTACTGGCCCTGGACGCTTACTGTGTTTTCTCTTGGTGTACTAATGGCACCCTTACTTTTCATTGGGGGAATGCTGCACTGACTGCCAAGTCTTTTGCTTTTGTAGAGAGTAATTTCTATGTGAAGATTGGGGACCAATCCTTCTAGGATTTTCTAGATGTAGATTATGATCTCTCTTGAGTACAAGTCAAGTGCTCAGACAACTTTTGTTCCAAGTGGGGAAATTAGATCTAGCAGAAATGATCCCAAAGGGATGAACAATAGATTAAAACATCTCAATGGTCAAAACAGAGGCATATACAGTGGACCCCCGCCTTACGATGGCATTGCGTTACATTAAATCTGCCATACAAAGCATTTGAACACAAAAATTTTGCCTCGCCTCGCGCGATTCGTCCGGGACACATCCCACGTGTGGCTTCAGCGCCAGTGTTTACAAGCCAGCCAGTGCGGTCGCATCCACGCATACATTCGGTACATTTCACCTTATCCCAGTGTTTTTTGTGCTTGTAACTGCAAAGTAAGTCACCATGGGCCCCAAGAAAGCTTCTAGTGCCAACCCTGTGGTAAAAAGGGTGAGAATTAGTATGGAAATTAAGAAAGATTTTGAAGGGTTTGGGGCTAACCCTGAGAAGCCTATGCCAGTTGTGGAATCCATTGTGCCTACTTCAAAGATTAAGGAAATGTGTGCGAAGTGGGTTGAACTGCAAACCTTTATGGATGAAAAGCACCCTAACACAGCTATTGCAAGCTGTGCTGGTGACTATTACAATGACAATGTTGTGGCCCATTTTAGGCAAATCTTAAAGGAACAGGAGGTACAGAGCTCTATGGGCAGATTTGTTGTGCGACAGAGGTCCAGTGACTCTCAAGTGGTCCTAGTGGCATTAAAAGAAGAAGAGAATAACCCCGGAAAAGGACTTGATACCTCAAGTCCTAATGGAAGGGGATTCCCCTTCTAAACAATAACTAACTTCTACACTCTCCCCTCCTCCCATCCCATCAATCATCACCAGATCTTCAATAAAGGTAAGTGTCATGTACAGTATTCTATTCTTAGTAGAGTATTAATTGTGTATGTCTTATTAAGTTTGTGTGTATTAAAATTAATATTTCATGTGGTAAATTTTTTTTTTCAGACTTTTGGGTGTCTTCCACGGATTAATTTGATTTCTATTATTTCTTATGGGGAAAATTAATTCGCCTTACGATAATTTCGGATAACGATGAGCTCTCAGGAACGGATTAATATCGTAAGGCGGGGGTCCACTGTATAGGACCCTGAAAGGGTTAAAGCCATTCTGGAAGATTTATAAAGACTAACTTAAGATTTAATAGGCAATAGCTATATATTAGGAATTGTATGTTTACAGTCATTTGGGGGGTGTAGGTGTAAATTATGAGGGAATTACAGATAATGATAAGTCTATATTGTTTTGGATATGTTCATAAAACAAAAAAGAGAATTAGGTGGTTTTCATTTGGTTAGCTGATGATGGGGTGTGTTAGAGAGATGAGATGCTTTTTAAAGGTAGTGTTGAAAATGGTGGTTGAGTCTGTGGTTCTTGAGTTTTCAGGCAGGGAGTTCCAGATTCTAGGCCCTTTTATGTACATCAAATTTTTGTATAGGTTTAGCCGGACACGGGAAATGCCATAGAGATTTTTGTGTCTGGTGTCGTGTCTATGGGTCCTGTTGCAACTATCAAGAAATTGTGTTAGTTCCGGGTTAAAATTAGAGTTAATGGTTCTGTAAATGTAGATTGCACAACAGTAGGTGTGAATGTTCTGTATAGTGAGCAGGTTTAGTTCTTTGAAGAGTGGGGGTGTGTACTGTCTTGAATTGGTATTTATTTATTTATTTATTTATGTCTTTGCAAATAGTACACTGAGATTATATATTTACAATAATGGGTTGCAATGCAATGAGAGCCTCTATTATGCCTTCTTACTGTGGTTTTCTGTTGGGTTATTATTGGCTTCAGGTGAGTTGCTGTTGTTGGTCCCCATGCACAAATAGCATAGGTGAGGTAGGGATAGATGAGTGAATAGTATAGTGTGAGTAGGGATGATTGTGATACATAGTAACGTATCTTGGAGAGGATCCCAACTGTTTTGGATACTTTTTTTGTTATAGATGTTGGATATGGGTGTTGAATTTCAGGATGCTGTCAAGGTGCAGGCCCAGGAATTTGCCCTCATTATGTCTAGCAATAGGAGTGTTGTCAATCGTTACATTCTACTGGGCAACACCTGTTCTGTTCCCAAACAGAATGAAGAAGGTTTTGTCAGTATTAAGTGTAAGTTTATTAGCAGTCATCCAGGTCGATATTTTTACTAGCTCTTCATTAACAATAGTGCTAAGTGAGACAAGATTAGGGTGGGAGATGACACATGTCATATTGTCAGCAAGGAGAATAGGCTTAAGGTGTTGTGAAAGAGTAGGTAGATCATTGATATATAAGAGGAAGTGCAGGGGACCAAGGACACTTCCCTGAGCAACCAGAGATAACATATAACATATTTATAAATGGAGATATTATTAGTTAAAATGGGCACTGAAACTGGGATAGTAAAGCCATATGAAAGAAAGAATTTAAAGATAATAAGTAAAAAATCATTGAATGACTAAGATTAACACTGATAAAGACCAAAGATGAGATAAGAGACCATGAATATCTGAATTGAGAGTACTTAATAATGAAATAAAGATGTTAAGGTGCACATTCATATTCATATAGTTTATTTGGAAATGATACATAGTTGTGCAAGGAATTATAGTAGTTGGGTGTACATGCCAAAAGCCCCTTGTATGCAAAGCATTATGGGCAGGCTTAAAATTAACTTAAAATTAACAAGCAACAAAAGGTTCAGTGGTAAAAATTACCATAAACAATTTACAATATGAAGTACAATTGAGTATTTGAAACAATGAAATTTTAAAATTTTGATATTGAAGCACTATAGTTGTACAGATTTGTCGCATTACAATGTATAATAAATGAGATGATCAATTTACTGTATGTTGTCTTGAAGTTTTAAGATTTAAGTAACTGGGATAATTATTGGTAATGTTAAATATTGAGTGTTGAAGGTATGGACTTGAAAATGAAACAAAGATATGTTTGTGTGAACCATTAAGCCATTTAAGGAGATTAAACTGATTTGTAATTTATTTATATAAAAAATTTACCTGTAGAGGTGCATGGAAACCAAATATTAATCTAATATGAAACAGCAGCTGATTCTTACCCCTCTAAACTATAATGAGAGCAAGCTCGGCACTTGTCTGGTCCGGGACCTGAACATCCACCGAGGCACTGACTGTGACAAACTTCAGATTCCACGAACTTGTTTATAATGTCACCATCCTGAGCAGTTGTCAAGTGATTTGGACCTGATACTATCTTCCCATCAACTGTGGCATAAGTAGCATTGGGACTAGATCCAGCCAGGATTTGGTCGAGGATGCTATGGAGGAAAAGAAAAGGATAAAAGACCCAATGCTTATTCAAACTTTATTACACTGTACTCCAATATTGTGAAAGGCTACTGCTCATGTAAACTGACTTCATTATGAAAATCCATACATAAACTTTAATGTCTGCCATCACTTCTCAAATTCAAATACGGATGAATTTTCATTAAAATAGAGATATAATACACTACCACATTTTCCTGTGTCTCACTGACAAATACTGATTATTTCTAGCATAAGCATATTAAAAAATACAAATCCTGCCCTATACAAATACAAGTTCATTGTTATCAAGGCTTTTTAAGAAGTACTTAATCTGTTCTTAGTACCTAATAGTGAAGGGACTATTAGAAGGTCTTCGTGACGAGAACTGTAAACCTGAGGAAGACTGGGTTGGCAGAGGCTGTGAGAAAGACAAAGAATCTGAGCGCTGAGGCAGTTCTGTGCGCAGACGTCCTGGACGCTCTTTAGTCCCATGCAAGATGAGCTGCCACTGTATTAGTACACCTATGGGAAAAAAATTATAATTACTTTTGTTTAAAAATTTCTGTGTGCTCTACCATTCAAGGAGGGAGGTGCCTTCATGCCAGTGAATATTTTTCATTCCAAGGAATTAGAACTATCCTCCCCTTCCCTGGATCAAACTTGATTATTTCCAATACCTCAGGTGCTATATGACCCTCACAAGTTTAGCACTTACCATGACCATAACAACAACAATGTATACTGTAATAACTGTTCTCTCTTTAATTAAATAAAACATTCTCTTAAAACACACAAAATTAAATAAATACACTTCAAAAAGGATTAAGGTTAAAAAACTTTAATTATTTTTTATTTTTAATTATAACAGTGGAGCCCCACCACGAGGTTATCCCATACGAGAACTTCATCGATTTCACTCCATCACGTGTCTTTTCCTCATTTAAATTTAAAATACATATTTAACTGCAACAGTAAACTCCTCCTTCAATAGGCCTGATCCCATCTACAGCTCAATCCTGGCCATTTCCCTAACCCCTTACAAAAATATGAACCAGAAACTGAACATCTCAACAGAATAAAAATTCACTCAAGTAGTGGTATCACCGATCATTTAACGAGCCATCATGCTGCAAAATACTCCTAAGCCCATCCATACATCAAACGGCCTTTACCCCCTCTCATCCAACCTTTCCTAGCCCTAATACCCCTATAACTCACTAAAACTGATACATCTGAAGCCATTCGATTCGCTCCATTACCTAATGTCCGAACCACCTACATCTTCACTCAAAACTTTGACCAACAGCGCTTTGGTAACCCGCACACTCCTCCTAACTTCCAAACTACGAATTCTCTGCATTAATTCACACCACACATTGCCCTCAGACATGACATCTCCCCTGCCTCCAGCCTTCTCCTCGCTGCAACATTCATCACCCATGCCTCACACCCATATAAGAGCGTTGGTAAAACTATACTCTCATACATTCCCCTCTTTGCCTCCAAGGACAAAGTTCTTTGTCTCCACAGACTCCTAAGTGCACCACTCACTCTTTCCCCTCATCAATTCTATGATTCACCTCATCTTTCATAGACCCATCCGCTGACACGTCCACTCCCAAATATCTGAATATTATAATACAGTGGAGCCTCCACTCACGAGTTTCATCCATTCCGTGACCTTGCTCGCATCTGGATTTGCTCGTTTGCAGAGTCAATTTTCCTCATTTAAATTAATTGAAATGCAATTAAAACCGTTCCAGTGGAATTCTGTAACTTCAATAATTTCCCTGATGTCAACTCTAAGCTTATACACAAAAAATTTGATAGAAAAACTCTAGAATGAAAAAATTTTCACTCAGTAGTGGTATCTGGCGGACGGGGTTTGTCTGGGGGGGAAAAAAAAATACCCCTTTGATAATTTCGTTTTAATATCATCTCACGGCTTATTTATCTATCCTTTACTAATATTACATAATTTTAAACAATATAAATACAAGAAACCTGATACAGTGGCCCTCGCCCAAAGAGGGCAGTTTAAACGTTAAACCCGACTAGCGATACTTTTTTAAAGCAAAAATTTTGCTCACTCGCTAAAAAACTGACAACACTTTTGTTCTGTCTGAGAGCTCCCTTCTGGCCATTTTTTCAAGCCCCCCGCCACCACGGTCGCTTCCAAGCATACATCGGAACATTTCATATTATCACAGCCTTTTTAGTGTTTTCACCTGAAAAAATAAGTCCCCGGGGCCCCCCAAAAAAAGCTTCTAGTCCCAAACCCCAAAAGCAAAAAGGGTAGCATTACTATGGAAATGTGAAAGAGATCTTGCTAGTTGAAAGTGGAGGCCGTTCCCCGGCTGGCCAGTTGTACAAAAAACCCCAATCAACCATCGTCTATTGTCCCAAGAAAACGGCAATCAAGGAAGTGTTTTCCCAAGGTGCAATTGTTTTCAAAACTGAGATCGAAAGTACTCGAAGATTTTGAGGTGTTTTTGGTGTGGTAAACGAAAAAAGATAGCAGGAGATAGCTTTTTTCAAGAAAAATTTTGTGAAAAGGTAGGAAGTTGCAGCTTTAATTAAAAAAATCCAGCAACAGGGGGAGTGAGTAAATTTTAAGGCCGGGAAAATTTTTTGAGAGATTTAAAGGGAAGGGAAAGTAACCCCAGAAAAGGACTTGCCCCCTCAAGTCCTAGGAAAGGGGATTCCCCTTCTAAACAAAAACCCATCCATCTCCCCCCCCCCACCCCCATCTATAACCCCAGATCTTCAAAAAAAGGTAGTGTCATGTAACGGGCATGTTTTTCTTCAGTTTGTGTTATTAAAAATTTAAATTTTTCATGTGGTAAAACAATTTTTTTTCATCTTTGGGGTGCCTCCCGGGATTAATTTGTTTTCCATTATTTCTTAGGGGGGAAAATTAACTTGATAACGAAATTCTGCTAAGAGAGCCTCTCAGGAAAAAGTTAATAGGTTATCGAAGGGCCATGTTTATACTCTGAATGAATAAAATTGTTTTAGTAAAGGTGGGGGCGGCCCCAACGCTCCCCCCTTTTTTGTGGAAAAAACGGGTTAGTGCAGTTTTTGAAGTCACTTTTATTATTGTTTATAATTTATATACGTCCCCCCCCCAACAAACCAGGGTAGGGGATCAAAGAGCCCCGCAATTTGAAAAACCCTGAAAGTTTGGTGCCCCCAATATATTGTAGGGAAATATTTACAATATGCTTCCCCTTAAACTTGTTGAACCATTTGATAATCTAAAAAACAAAGAAAAACGTCGAAATTGATTAAAATAAACAGTTATGCTTTTTAAAAGTATGGTTTTTTAATAAATGTAGTTTAATAAAATTTTAATTTATTAAATAACAACTCCACCACTCCCCCCCTTAGCCCTTTTCAACTCCCCCGGGCCCGCAAATGGTTACCACCCTCCCCCCCCTCAGGGGGGGGGGGTTTTCTTTTTTTGGTAAAACACAATTAACAAATGTCCCATTTTATGCTCATTTGGAACTATAGGAAAAAATTTTGAATACTCATTGTTTACTCCTTGAAAAAGAAAGAATGACCTTTTTCTTTGCAAATTAACAATGTTTTAAAAATAAATAAAAAAATAAATAATAAAAAACGATAAATTTAAGAAGGAAATTTTACCCAAAAATACGGGGGGGGATTGGTTTTACACATCGTCGTGAGACTTTTTTAGGGAACTGGGTAAACATTAGTCTCCCTGCTCCTTCAACATTTCACAAAAATTCAGCAGTTGAGCAGTGGTATTTAATAACATATATGTTATAAATATAATAGACATGTTATTTTTAAATTAACATGATGTTATTAAATCCCATTGCCTCAATCATGCCTCTACCACCCCAAGCCCACACTCAATCTACAAGCACAAAACAACGAATATTTGTGAAATGTTTGAAAGAGCAGGGAACTAATTTTAAAACCCAGCTAAACAAACCCCACACTCGAAATTTGTGTCACCATCCCTCGTATTTTTGTACAATTCCTTCTTCAATTATAACATATTTATTTTTTATTAATTATTTTATTATTATTATTATTATTATTATTATTATTATTATTATTTTTACTATTGTTATTATTAGCTGTAGCAGAAATTTTTTAATTCTTTGCAGTGTTCAAGAGTAAACACATGATGTCACCGTCTAATACCTGTCCGAATAGCCATTCCAATATGCAGTCATGAATGGGTTTACATTATTTATACTGTAGTTTAATAGCAAATAATGAACAAACAAAACACTCACCACACTGGGCGGTGGGAGAGCTGGCTGCCAGTTGCGGGGGTCGGAGGGAGGGTAGTAGGGACTCGCAGGTGGCGGGAAACTTAAATATGATTTGGAGGCTGGGAATTTGGTGGCTGGGAATTTGGCGGTTGGGAATTCGCGAATGTGTGAAGCCCGTGAAAGTTGAAAACATGAATGTTGAGGGAGACCTGTAGTACATTATTACTGTACATGTATTATTATTTTTTTTTTCAACAAGTCGGCCATCTCCCACCGAGGCAGGGTGACCCAAAAAGAAAGAAAATCAGCAAAAAGAAAATACTTTCATCATCATTCAACACTTTCACCTCACTCACACATAATCAGTCTTTGCAGAGGTGCCCAGATACAACAGTTTGGAAGCATATACAAAGAACTGTAACATCCCCCTCCAAATTGCCAATATCCCAAACCTCTGCTTTAAAGTGCAGGTATTGTACTTCCCATTTCCAGTACTCAAGTCTGGCTATATAAAAATAACTGGTTTTCCTGAATCCCTTCACTAAATATTACCCTGCTCACACTCCGTCAGGTCCCAAAAACCATTCGTCTCCATTCACTCCTATCTAACATGCTCACACATGCTTGCTGGAAGTCCATGCCCCTCGTCCATAAAACCTCCTTTACCCCCTCCCTCCAATTTTAATTTTAATACAGTGGAACCTTGGTACTCAAACTTAACCCATTCCAGAAGGCTGTTTGAGTGCCGATCTGTTCGAGTACCAAATGAATTTTTCCCAACCAATTTTCTTTTTGGTCAGCTGCTATTACTAATCTTCAAAGGCCCCATGGTGACTTATTTATACAATATAAAAAAAAAATGTGAAGAAACACTTAATAGTTTATAGCAAATTTCTGGCAGGATGTTTTTGTTTGGTCAAGTGCCGAACAAATGGTCGACTACCAAGTGATTGTTTTACCGAACAAAGCATTCGAATACCGAACTATTTGAGTAGGGAGCTGTTCAAGTACCGAGGTTCCACTGTATCTTAAAAGTATCAGCTAGTACAGTGGTCCCTCATTGATCAAAAGGCTTGATAGTCGTAATTTTCGATAATCATAACGTTATTTTCGTCAAAATACTGGCTCGCAAATCATCATTTGACTCATGAATCATCATTTGTCCGGGACGTGTACACATGGCTCCGAGCTGCCTCGCCTTCCCTTCCCAGCCAGTGTGCCATTGTTTACCAGTGAGTGACGGTCCCCTCACTTGTTCATACAAAATATTTCATAATATTCCATTCATTTTAGTGCTTGCAACTGCTAAATAAGCTAGCATGGCTCTAAAAAAGCTCCTAGTTCCAGGCCTTTGGTAAAGAAGGTGAGAAATATGACTGAATTCAAGAAAAACATCATTGAACAATATGAAAGTGGCATATGTGTGGCCAAACTGGCCAGGATGTATAACAAACCCCATACAACCATAGCTTCCATCGTGGCCAAGAAAATGGAAATCAAAGAAGCTGTTGTTGCAAAGGGGGTAAATATGCTGACAAAAATGAGATCACCAGTACTCGAAGATGTTGAGAAGTTATTATTGATGTGGATAAATGAGAAAAAATTAGCAGGAGATAGTCTTATGCAGTCGATCATTTGTGAAAAGGCTAGGAAGTTGCATGACGATCTCGTAAAGAAATTACCTGCAACAAGTACTGATATTGGTGAATTTAAGGCCAGCAAAGGCTGGTTTGAGAGATTTAAGAACCATAGTGGCATACACAGTGTGATAAGGCATGGTGAGGCTGCCAGTTCAGACAAAATTGCAGCTACAAAATTCCTAAGTGAATTCAAGGAGTACATAGAGGCTGAAGGACTGAAACCTGAGCAAGTGTCTAATTGTGACAAAACAGGCCTCTTTTGGAAGAAAATGCCAAAGAGGACCTACATTACTCAGGAGGAAAAGGGACTGCCAGGACTCAAGCCAATGAAAGACACGCTGACACTCATGTTCTGTGTTAATGCTAGTGGGGATTGCAAAGTGAAGCCGTTACTAGTGTACCATTCTGAAAACCCCAGAGTGTTTAGGAAAAACAATGTTATGAAGAGTAAACTGTGTGTGTTTTGGAAAGCTAATAATAAGGCAAGGGTCACGAGGGAAATTTTTGCCGAGTGGTTCAATGAAGTGTTTGGCCCTAGTGTGAAGAATTACCTCCTGGAAAAGAAATTGGATCTCAAGTGCCTCCTGCTAATGGACAATGCACCTGCTCATCCTCCAAACTTGGATGACCTAATTCTAGAGGAGTTTGGGTTCATCACAGTAAAGTTCTTGCCCCCTAATACCACTCCTCTCCTCCAGCCCATGGACCAGCAGGTCATTTCAAACTTTAAAAAACTCTACACCAAAGCAATGTTTCAAAGGTGCTTTAATGTGACCTCAGACACTCATTTGACCCTAAGAGAGTTTTGGAAAGATCACTTCAGTATTCTCCACTGCATAAGCCTTATAGGTAAGGCTTGGGAGGGAGTGACTACCAGGACTTTGAACTCTGTTTGGAGAAAATATGGCCAGATTGTGTCCACAAGAGGGATTTTGAAGGGTTTCGGGCTGACCCTGATGAGCCTATGACAGTTGTGAAATCTACTGTGGCACTGGGGAGTTCCATGGGGTTGGATGTGAGTTTGGAGGATGTGGAAGAGTTGGTAGAGGACCAAAACGAAGAGCTAACCACTGAGGAGCTGCAAGAGCTTCAGCAGGAACAGCAACAGACTGCAGCTCAGAATATTGCTGCAGAGGAGGAGGAAGAGAGATGGAAGAAGTTGCCTTCTTCAGAAATTAAAGAGATTTTTGAAATGTGGGGTAAGATGGAAAGATTTATAGAGAAACATCACCCTGGCAAGGCTGTTGCAAGCCATGTCAGCAACATGTACAGTGACGAAGTCTTGGCCCATTTTAGGGAAGTTTTAAAGAGACGTCAGAAGCAAAGCTCTCTGGACAAGTATTTAGTACCACAGGTGTACAGTGACTCTCAAGCTGGTCCTAGTGGCATTAAGAAACAGAGAAGAGTAGTAACCCCAGAAAAGGACTTGGTACCTGAGGTGTTGATGGAAGGGGATTCCCCTTCCAAACAGTAATTCAATCTCTCTCCTCCTCCAGTCTTCCATACACTAAGAAGAATCACCAATAAAGTTAAGTGTTATGCTGTTAATGTTTCATTCATCATGTTCCATTGTACTGTGTATGTACTACATCTATATTTCATATAAAAAATTTTTTGTTTTAATACCTCTGGGTGTCTGGAACGGACAGAAGTTTGTGGTTATAGGAGGGTGGGGGCAGGAGGAAAGAGGAGTGATTGGTGGAATGATGAAGTAAAGGGTGTGATAAAAGAGAAAAAGGTAGCTTATGAGAGGTTTTTAAAAAGCAGAAGTGTTATAAGAAGAGCAGAGTATATGGAGAGTAAAAGAAAGGTAAAGAGAGTGGTGAGAGAGTGCAAAAGGAGAGCAGATGATAGAGTGGGAGAGGCAATGTCAAGAAATTTTAATGAAAATAAGAAAAAATTTTGGAGTGAGCTAAACAAGTTAAGAAAGCCTAGGGAAAGTATGGATTTGTCAGTTAAAAACAGAGTAGGGGAGTTAGTAAATGGGGAGATGGAGGTATTAGGTAGATGGCGAGAATATTTTGAGGAACTTTTAAATGTTAAGGAAGAAACAGAGGCAGTAATTTCATGCACTGGTAAGGGAGGTATACCATCTTTTAGGTGTGAAAAAGAGCAGAATGTAAGTGTGGGGGAGGTACGTGAGGCATTACGTAAAATGAAAGGGGGTAAAGCAGCTGGAACTGATGGGATCATGACAGAAATGTTAAAAGCAGGGGGGGTATAGTGTTGGAGTGGTTGATACTTTTGTTTAATAAATGTATGAAAGAGGGGAAGGTACCTAGGGATTGGCGGAGAGCATGTATAGTCCCTTTATATAAAGGGAAAGGGGACAAAAGAGACTGTAAAAATTATAGAGGAATAAGTTTACTGAGTATACCAGGAAAAGTGTATGGTAGGGTTATAATTGAAAGAATTAGAGGTAAGACAGAATGTAGGATTGCGGATGAGCAAGGAGGTTTCAGAGTGGGTAGGGGATGTGTAGATCAAGTGTTTACATTGAAGCATATATGTGAACAGTATTTAGATAAAGGTAGGGAAGTTTTTATTGCATTTATGGATTTAGAAAAGGCATATGATAGAGTGGATAGAGGAGCAATGTGGCAGATGTTGCAAGTATATGGAATAGGTGGTAAGTTATTAAATGCTGTAAAGAGTTTTTATGAGGATAGTGAGGCTCAGGTTAGGGTGTGTAGAAGAGAGGGAGACTACTTTCCGGTTAAAAGTAGGTCTTAGACAGGGATGTGTAATGTCACCATGGTTGTTTAATATATTTATAGATGGGGTTGTAAAGGAAGTAAATGCTAGGGTGTTCGGGAGAGGGGTGGGATTAAATTTTGGGGAATCAAATTCAAAATGGGAATTGACACAGTTACTTTTCGCTGATGATACTGTGCTTATGGGAGATTCTAAAGAAAAATTGCAAAGGTTAGTGGATGAGTTTGGGAATGTGTGTAAAGGTAGAAAGTTGAAAGTGAACATAGAAAAGAGTAAGGTGATGAGGGTGTCAAATGATTTAGATAAAGAAAAATTGGATATCAAATTGGGGAGGAGGAGTATGGAAGAAGTGAATGTTTTCAGATACTTGGGAGTTGACGTGTCGGCGGATGGATTTATGAAGGATGAGGTTAATCATAGAATTGATGAGGGAAAAAAGGTGAGTGGTGCGTTGAGGTATATGTGGAGTCAAAAAACGTTATCTATGGAGGCAAAGAAGGTAATGTATGAAAGTATAGTAGTACCAACACTCTTATATGGGTGTGAAGCTTGGGTGGTAAATGCAGCAGCGAGGAGACGGTTGGAGGCAGTGGAGATGTCCTGTTTAAGGGCAATGTGTGGTGTAAATATTATGCAGAAAATTCGGAGTGTGGAAATTAGGAAAAGGTGTGGAGTTAATAAAAGTATTAGTCAGAGGGCAGAAGAGGGGTTGTTTAGGTGGTTTGGTCATTTAGAGAGAATGGATCAAAGTAGAATGACATGGAAAGCATATAAATCTATAGGTGAAGGAAGGCGGGGTAGGGGTCGTCCTCGAAAGGGTTGGAGAGAGGGGGTAAAGGAGGTTTTGTGGGCAAGGGGCTTGGACTTCCAGCAAGCGTGCGTGAGCGTGTTAGATAGGAGTGAATGGAGACGAATGGTACTTGGGACCTGACGATCTGTTGGAGTGTGAACAGGGTAATATTTAGTGAAGGGATTCAGGGAAACCGGTTATTTTCATATAGTCGGACTTGAGTCCTGGAAATGGGAAGTACAATGCCTGCACTTTAAAGGAGGGGTTTGGGATACTGGCAGTTTGGAGGGATATGTTGTGTATCTTTATATGTGTATGCTTCTAAACTGTTGTATTCTGAGCACCTCTGCAAAAACAGTGATAATGTGCGAGTGTGGTGAAAGTGTTGAATGATGATGAAAGTATTTTCTTTTTGGGGATTTTCTTTCTTTTTTGGGTCACCCTGCCTCGGTGGGAGATGGCCGACTTGTTGAAAAAAAAAAAAAAAAAAAATTACATTATTTCTTATGGGGAAATGGATTAAAAAATCGTCAATTTCGATAATAGTCACACTTCCAGGAATGGATTAATTACGAAAAACGAGGGACCACTGTATTGGCAACTTTTTCACTGATAGCGATACCATAAAAAGGCATTGATACTGAGTCTCTGACATACCCCTAATCCACAGTCCAGAAAATCCCAGTATTTGGCACCTGTCTTACATCATGGTTAATGCACTAAAAAAAGTGTAAACACAAATGTTAAATGAATTACCAGTACAGAGCTTAAGGATTTGCAGCATAATACAGAGAGAACTGCTGTATATATATTGGGAAACAATCATTAATACTTAAAAAAAAATTAAATACAATACTATACTGAACTTGTAAAGTTTTACTTACAAATTCACCTGGAAATATTGTCTTTGATATACAATCCATTATTAAAAAGGAAATCTTTCCACTGAAGAATTAACTCACCTGGGTGACGAACTTCCCGTGTACCAGCGTTAGTGACAACTAACCGCCAAGTCCCTGCTGCCTTTTCTCCCCAAAAGTGAACAGAGAGGAAAGGCCAATCATCAAACTTTTCAGAGAACACATCCCTTGGTCTTTCAAATAACAGTGTAGAAGAAGTACCTGGAAATAAAAATATAGTGCTGAAAATAAAATTAATAATGTAAAGTAGTTTCATTTATAAGAGCAAATGAAGTAAATTAATTACTGTACTTCAACAGCTGGTGATTGCATCTCCATCATGCAAATTTTAATGTTCCTTCACGACAAGATGTACAGGTGTAGTCATCACTGATATGATATTTTGTAACATTTTCCTTAAGTTACAGTATTTAAGCTCAAAGGGTTTGCTAATAATTTTTTAATAAAAATTTATTTAACTTATTAACAAAGCTCTAAACCAAAGGTTAAATCTCCACCTGTTTTATGGTTTGTTTCCAATCATGTTATTACAGTTTCATGAGTAACAAAGCTCTATACTCAATTATGTTATGGCAAGGGAATATAACCCAGGAGGTAAGTCTTTCCGTGTATATAAACTAACAGTTTGCTTTAATCCATATTTTACAGATAACATGTTCTTGACTAGTGGTGTACAAGTGACATGCAGCCTTAATAACCCTCATGTAGTTAAAAGGCTTTAAACCAAATAAACTAATTCAATTATTTTCTCAATAGATGCAAACAGAAAGAAAGGCTAGAAAGAACTTACCTGAGGGGGATATAAGTTTTATGTTGATGTTTCCTCGTGGCAGGAATCGAAGAGAAACTCTAGCTTGTACATGTTCCAAATAGCGAACCTCTCTAGATGTTCCAGCACAGCCATCTGTGGTGATCTCTGCAAATACTGATTCTCCCATGATAGTAGGAATTCCTCTAAGAAAAAGAACAAAAAATCACCAATCAGAAAAATTAAGTTCGATTACTGGTGAATATTCCAACCAAATAATTTTGAAAAATACATATCACACCCACATATGATATGTGTATTTGATGTACGCCCATCAACTATGCACGAAAGAAGATATGTTACCTAAGGACTGGCAGAAAGCATGAATACTTTCTATGTAGCAGGAAAAAACAGGATAAAATTGTATAAGAAGCATAGGAAAATAAGCCTCCCAAGGTATTTGTAGAGACAAAGAACATTATCCATGGAGGCAAAGAAGGGAATGTATGAGAGTATAGTGGTACCAACACTCTTATATGGGTGTGAAGCATAAGTTGTGAATGACACAGCCAGAAAGAAGCTGGAGGCAGTGGAGATGTCAGGTCTAAGGCAATGTGTGTGGCATAAATATTATGCAGTGTGTGTGTGGTGTGGTTATTAGGATGAGGTGCGGAGTTACTAAGATTATTGTTCAGAGGGCTGAGGAGGGGTTGTTGAGGTGGTCTGGACATTTAGAAAGGATGGAGGGTGTATAAATCTGTAGTGGAGGGAAGAAGGGTAAGGGTCATCCTAGGAAACAATGGAGGGGGCTTGGACATACAGTAAGTATGTGTGAATGTGTTAGATAGGAGTGAATGGTTTTTGGGACTTGACAAGCCACTGGAATGTGAATAGGATAATATTTTGTGAAGGGATTCAGGGAAACCTGTTAGCCAGACATGAGTCCTGGAGGCAGGAAGTACAATGCCTGCACTTTAACCCTTAAAAAATTATTTGTTTCTTATGAAATGATAGAGAATCTTTTTCCGAAGGTAATGAAACCATATTTGTACATTGTCAATTTTACTCAAGTTAAGCCCTGTTTTCAGTCAATTGCTTCAAGCAACTAAACTCATAGATATTTCACTAGTATTCCTCCTATTCTATTGACTGATTACATGAAACTGCCCATTTACCTATTTCAGCTACCAAATAAAGTGATTGGAAATTGGTAATTTGGCCATTTTCACACAAAATTAAAAAATTGCCAATTTAAAAATAAGGTTCAGAATAAACAATGTAGACATTCCTGGCACTAAAATGCATTTCCTCTGTTCATTAGTTACATTCCCAGGTCTCTCCTACATTATGCATGCTGTCCAACTTAAATTTTTATTCACACAAAAAATAAAAGATTTACTGCTTTGCAGACAACTGCATTATTGTAATAATTGTATAAATAATGTCAGTGTATTCCTGAATGTATATTAGACTGATCAGTTGTATGCTTATTGGACAAGTGATGCAATTTGTGTACTCTGGAATATCCAAAAAATCAAACATTTCTGCTACTTTGAGCTCAATTTCAAGCTATTTTCAGTCCTGAAAGCAATAAAAAATCATCTATGTTTCTGTAACATATCATCAATTCTATAATATGAGACCAAAAAACTGAGAATACAACCATAAAAACCAACATGAAAACACACCACAAAATCACTGTTTTAAATCAAAAACACGGTCGAAGTTTCTTATTATGTACTGTGTGATGCAGGATTTTTTCATGGGGCACACTTACTGCATAGACCCATTCTCTCATTTCTAGGCCCAAATTTATCACTTACAGCTTATCTGAGTGAGCTGAGCTCATGGTGTAGTACTACAGCATGGATGGTGAAGTGGTTAAAGGTGGGGTTTGGGATATCTGCCATTAGAGTGACATCTAAACTGTTGTATCTGTGAGCCTCTGTACAGATAATGATAGTGTGAAATGATGGTGAAGGTGTTTTCTTTTTTGGGGGTCACCCTGCCTTGGCAGGAGATGGCAGTATGTTAAAAAAAATAAACAAATAAATAAATAAAGCCTCCTGAGTATATCAGTTAAAGTGAATGGTAGAGTTATTACTGAAAGTTAGGAAAAAAACAGAAAGTAGGTATGGTGAGGAACGAGGAGGATTTAGGAAGGGTAGGAGAACAAGGAGGAATTAGGAAAGGGAGGGGAACAAGGACGATTTAAGAAGGGTAGGGAATGTGTTTTAGGTACAGGGTGACCATCACTAATCCAGCATCATTGGGACTTGGGTGCCAGATTACAGAGTGGTTAGGTTAGAATACACTTAACCCAATGACGATATTTACACATCAGCGATTTCACCCACTTTATGCCCAATTTTGACCCATTCCATTATTCCAGTCTGCCAAACTCAGCTATTTCACTAGTATTCCTTTTATTCTGTCGATTGAGTACAGGAAACCATCCTTCAGCTATTTCAACTACCCAATAAAGTGGTCAGAAATTGGTAATTTGGACACTTTATTACAAATTTCAAGAGATGCCTATTTCAAAATAGGGTCTAGAATAAACAATGCAGATATTCCTAGTACTAAAATAATGCTTTCTCTGTTCATCAGTCACATCTCCAGGCCCCTTTTATATTACACTTGCTTTCCATTTTGAATTTTTATTCACACAAAAAAATGAAGGTTTATTGTTATGAAGATTACTGCATTACTGTAATAAATGTATAAATAATGTCAACCCATTCGTGACTGCGTATTAGGTTGCCAGTTGGACACATACTGGATGATGATGTCATTTGTTTACTCTTGAACATCAGCAAAAACAACATTTCTGCTACTTTGAGCTCAATTTTAAGGTACTTTCTGGTATGAAACCAGTCAAAATTATATCTATTTCTGCAATATATCTTCCATTCTATCAAACGAGATGAAAGAAACGAGAATACAACCATACAAACCACACAAAAATACACCGCAAAGTTGCTGTTGTATACCAAAAGCACAGTAGCCGCTTTTTCTCATAATGCACTGTGTGCTGCAGGATTTTTTTATATAGTGCACATTTACCACACAGACCTATTCTCTCATATGTAGGCCCAAATTTACTGGTCACAGCTTATCTGAGTGAGCTGAGCTCGTGGCAACCGATAGTAGCTTTAAAGCCACTTTTGTGAACAATGTGACCCCTCATGGAAGGTTCCTTGATGTTGGTGAGGGGCTCTTGATTTAGGGAATTGGATCTGTGCTCCAGTTCCCCGAATTAAGCCTGAATGCCTTCCACATCCCCCCCTCCCCTGGGCGCTGTATAATCCTATGGGTTTAGCGCTTCCCCCTTGATTATAATAATAATAATAATGTGAACAATGTACAGTGGATGTGCTTTACACAATGAGAAGCATTTCTTTTATTTGTTGAAACCATGGCTAGGGCTAAAAGTGAGCAAGTTATAACAATGGAGAATAAGAAATTTGAATGATTTATGCAGTAAGTAGCACCACCAAACAGCAGTGGCAGGTTGGTGTGGCGACCCCAGAAATTTTAAATTATGCTAGCTGAAATTAGTTCTGGATTACTGAATGCCGGATTAGTGATGGCCAACCTGTAGTAGGATGGTAGAAAAAAACCACCCAAGAAGATACTACCATCCTGCCAAATGAATGTTAAATGGAAACCAGTAATTGTTTTACACTAGTAGGATTGCTGGTTTCTCTTCTTTGTGTCTCGTAAAGATGTAAAAAAAATGTATGCCTTGATACTTCTACCTACACTTAAATCACACTACACAGGCATGTCTACATATAAGTATACACATCCATCTAAGTAATAACTCATTACAGCTGTGACCAGGTGTGGATGTGTGAATGGCTCGTTACTTTGTAATTTGTTCATGATTGTAACCATGTATAGATGTCTAGATGGTTCATTACCTTTGTAACTTGTCATGACTGTGACTATATCTTCCTGGAGTTCATTACCTTTGTAACTTGTTCAGCTATCAAAACTTTGGGGCCCAGTCCCTGGACCCACTATGTACCTCTGTAATCTTTTGACTACCACCCACAGGATGGGTATGGGGTCATAATAAATATATTCAACTAACAACTCCTTGTTCTTATTTACTTCCTTTCATCTCCATGGGAAAATGGAGAAGAATCATTCCTCCGTAAGTTATGTACTCTATGTCATAAGAGGCAACTAAAATGCTGGAAAGAAGGGGCTAGCAACCCCTTCTCCTGTATAAAATGTTAAATATAAAAAGAAGAAAAATTTTACATTTCTTCTTTTTTTTGGGTCATCCTGCTTCAGTGGGAGACAGCTATTGTGTTAAAAAATAGGGGAGATGTGTTCACCAAGTGTTTACATAGAAGCATATAAGTGAATAATACTTATCTAGATAATAGTAAGGGCAAGACAGTGACTGAATGAGTTAAAGCGAAAGTGTTGTGCTCTGTCACTGGTCGGGTCACCCTACCCTGGTGGGAGATGGCCGGAGTGTTAAAAAATGATAAGGGACTTTTTAGTGCATAAAAAATAATGGCAAGGGGTTCTACATTGCACAAAAAAATAATGGTAAGGGGCTCTGTTGTATTTGAGGATATAGAAAAGTTACATGATAACATAGATAGTGGGCAGTGTGAGAAATGTTGCAAATGCATGGAAATGGCATTGGTCACTAAAAGCAGTACAGTTTTTATACAGAAAGTGAGGCTCAAGTAAAAGAATGTAGGAGAAAAAGGGCCTATTTTCCAGTAAAAATAGACCTTAGACAGGGATATACGATGTCACTATGGTTGTTTAATATACAGTGGTACCTAGGGACACGAACTTAATTCATTCCAGAAGGCTGTTCAAGTGCCGATACTGAATGAATTTGTTCCCATAAGGAATAATGTAAATTAGATTAATCTGTTTCAGACCCCCAAAAATTCACTTACAAAAGTACGTACTTACATAAATACACTTGCATAACTGTTTGAGTTTTCAGCTGTTCATATCCCGAGGTACCACTGTATTTATAAATGGAGTTATAAAAGAAGTTAATGCTAGGTTATTGGGGAGAGGTCTGACTTAAAAAAAAAAAAATGAATTTTTAATAGAGTGGGAATTATCATAGTTATTCTCTGCCAATGACTCAGTTTTTGGGGAGATTCTGAAGAAAAAGTGCAAATGTTGGTGATGAATTTGTGAGGTAAAAAATAGAAAAAAAAATGTGATGAGAGTAACAAAAAACTATGGTAGGTAATGAAAGACTTAATATCAGGTTGGAGGCAGGGAGTACAGAGGAAGTAAATGTTTTCATATACATGTATTTGGGCTGGACTTGTTCATGTATGGTTCACTGAAAGAAGAGGTGAACTAAAGAATGGATGAGGGGGGGGGGGGATTAAAGCATCTGTGAAGGCAAAGTTCATCCATGGAGGTAAAATGGGGAATGTACTAGAGTATAGTGGTACCAACACTTTTACATGGGTGTGAAGCAAGAGTTTTCAATGGAGGAAGCTGGAAGAAGTAGCAACATCATGTTTGAGAGCAATGTGGGGTGTGAATATTATGTAGAAAATTCTGAGCATGGAATTATCAAAAGTATAATTCAGAGGGTTGATGATGGTTTTCTGAGGTGGTATGAGTAGATAGAGAGGGTGGAGCAGAAAAGGAAGACTAAGAAAGTATATAGAACTGGGGTGGAAAGAAAAAAAGGTAGAGGATATTACCAATTAAATTTTCTGTTTGGTTTTGGAGATATCAAGAGTAAAATTTTCTTACTGTTATAGAACATCACAACTAAGTAATGAGAACCAGATTACAGTTTGTTTGATTTTGGAAATATAAAGAGTAAGGTGTTCGGATTACAGATCACCTACAAAAATAATGACAAAAATATGATTAACACATCATTCACAAGGGAAAATAGTTTGTATTTGGCAGATATTCTTGCTTAAAAAATTATATAAGCCAGTCTGGATGAATTTTGACCTACAGGCTACCCTCACATTACAGGAAGATACAGTACAGTAATCTGTAATCTAGCAATAAATACTGTATTCCTTATGGTTCTGGCTCTAGACATGCCATGTTTATTTTGTAGTTATTGGCACTACTATTAATTACAATTTTATTCAGTAATTGCCTTTAATAAAATTAGATTGTAAATACTTTTTTTTAACACATCAGGCCATTTCCCACTGAGGCTGGGTGGTCCAAAAAGAAAGAAAAAAAAAGAAAAAAAATGTGATACCTATATACAGTGCTCATCATTAAAATATATCAGCTCCCTCTAAAATCACGACCACAAAATTGGTCATTCCTTGTCCTTTAGGACATTTTTCAACCATCCAGGAAGTAATTAACATAAAATCTTCAGGGTTTCTAGAAGTAAATTCCTCTACAACTCAAGTGAAAACTGAAAGATTTCAATTACACTGAATCCCGGAGATTATAATTACATGCTAAAATTTTATGGAAAGTATTTTCATAGCCAAGGATAAATGGTTAAAGATTGGTTAATATTATCTGAAAGAATACAGAATGTTAGTTAACTTATGAAGAAAATGTAAGGAGAGATAAACCTCCTTTCTGAGTCTTCCTTGCCAATAAACTGAATGACGAACAAAAAGGCACAACACCATGACTGGAACAATACACAAATAATATTATTCCTTGATCATCAAATGACAAACTTAGTTTTAAAAATACAGAATATTAGAATAAATGCTGTTTTTCAAGGTTAGCATCACCAATTTCCCAACAATGGAAATGCTGTGGTGAAACACAGGCAAACAACTTTGTTGAATATTTGTCTTTTCATCTGACATTGGTCTAAATTTGTTCAGCTTTTGTTAAATTTGCAAAACACAAGCAACTGCTGAAAACCACCATCTTGATCTAATACTTACTGATCAGTTCGGTCCTTAATACTCTGGCAAACATGCTGAGGTGGTACAGTTGTCCATTTTTCTGCCAACTCTACCAGCTTGCCAGCATCCATCAGTCCATAGCCAAATTTGTGACTCACTGTCAAGACAATGCAAGAAGGCATATACATTCTGAATCAAAATATAGATGCAGTATTAAAAAAAACTTTTGTTTCATAATTTTGACTCCCTTTCAGAGTAGTATTCACTCACATTAAATTGTGTATATTATACTATAAAAAACTGAATTTTAATAAAAAAAAAATTCAAAATGTTATCCATTAAATAAAAGTATAATATTTGTAAGTTCATACAGTAAATGTTCTACAAGATAAACTACCTATTTCTCATATTACTATACAGTATCAATAACAAGTAATTACTAAAAACAATGCATTCCCTGATATTTTATATGTGGCATAATACATGTATATATTGCACCTATAAATAAATATAGTCTTTCTGTATGTTAGAGCATTACCAACTATCAACACCAATGATTTTCAATTACATACACACACACACACACACACATATATACACATACACAAAGAAGCCAGAAGCCGTAACTCGATCCTTGCAACCATATACGTATAGGTGAGTACACACACACACAGTCAGGAGCTGTGACTTGACCCCTGCAACCACATATAGGTGAGTGTGTGCGCACATCCATACATGCATACACAAATTCAAATTCAAATGTTTATTTTCTTGTAGAAGCTTACAATGTGTGGTTTAAGTGTTATAAAACATTAAATACAAAAGAAGGCCACTAGCATGCCTAGGCATTTCGGGCAGACTAATACTAATTCTTACTCTATATTGATATAGGTTATGGAGCAGTGCATTTTTAATATACATTATTAGATACATACATAATTAGATTTATAAACAGTGAAGTTGTACAAAACATTTAACAATAATTCAAATGGTAAATTTAGTAATGGGATTGGATTTGTCTTGGCATGATACAGTGTTTCTTTTAAAGCTCATATATTGTCAGTGTATTTTATGCAAACTTAGAACTAACTTAAGATTTAATAGGCAATAGCTATATTAGGAATTTTATATTGATAGTCATCTGGGTGAGTGTAAGTGTAAATTAGGGGGAATTACAGACAACAAGAGTAAGACTGTATATATTGTTTTGGATGTGTTCATGATGAAAAAAAAGAGAATTAGGTGCTTTTCATTTGGTTAGCTGATGATGGGGTGTGTTAGGGAGATAAGATGTTTTTTAATGGTAGTTTTGAAAATGGTGATTCGAGTCTGTGGTTCTAGAGTTTTCAGGCATGGAGTTCCAGATTTTAGGCCCTTTTATGTACATCAACACGAGGAATGTCGTAGAGATTTTTATGTCTGGTATTGCGTCTATGGGTTCTGTTGCAACTATCAAGAAAGTGTTTTAGTTCAGGGTTAATATTAGAATTTATGGTTCTGTAAATGTAGGTTGCACAGTAGTAGGTATGAATGTTCTGTACAGTGAGTAGGTTTAGGTTTTTGATGAGTGGGGGGTGTGTTGTCTAGCGTGATAATTCTTGCTGCGGCTTTCTGTTGGGTTATTATTGGCTTTAGGTGAGTTGCTGCTGTTGATTCCCAGGCACAAATAGCATAGGTAAGGTAAGGATAGATGAGTGAATAGTATAGTGTGAGTAGGGCTGATTTTGGTACGTAGTAACGTATCTTAGAGAGGAACCAAGTGTTTTGGATACTTTTTTTGTTATTTGTTGGATATGGGTGTTGAATTTCAGGTTGCTGTCAAGGTGCAGGCCCAGGAATTTGTCCTCATTATGTTTAGCAATTGGAGTGTTGTCAATTGTTATGTTCAGCTGGGCAACACCTGTTCTGTTCCCAAACATAATGTAGAGGGTTTTGTCAATGCTAAGTGTTAATTTATTAGCAGTCATCCAGGACAATATTTTTACAAGCTCTTCATTAGCAATAACGTTGAGTGAGGCAAGATTAGGGTGGGAGATGACATAAGTCATGTCATCAGCAAAGAGAATAGGTTTAAGGTGTTGTGATACATTAGGCAGATCATTGATGTATAAGAGGAAGAGCTGGGGACCAAGGACACTTCCCTGTGGTACTCCAGTATCTAGTGGTCTTATTGATGAGGTTGTGTCCTTAATAGAGATGTACTGATACCTGTCAGTAAGGTAGGATTTGAAATGTGTACGTGCGTGGCCTCTTATACCATAATGATCAAGTTTGTGGAGTGGGATGCTGTGGTCTACTTTATCAAAAGCTTTCCTTAGGTCGATAAAGAATCCTGATGGATATTCATTTTTTCTGAGTGCTGTGTAAAGCAGGTCTAGCATTTTTACAACTGCGTTGTTTGTGCTTTTGCTTTTCCTGAAGCCAAACTGGCAGGGGTTGAGGATGCTTTGCACTGTTAAAAAAGAATATAATCTCTTGTGCAGAAGTTTCCCAAAGATTTAGATTTTGGATAGCAACAGTTAGTTTGATACTGGCCTGTAGTTTACATCTGTGGGGTGCACACATACACACAGAGCCAGGAGCTGTGACTCAATCCCTGAAACCACATATAGGTGAGCACATGCATGCAAGCACATGCATGACTTGACCCCTGCAACCATATATATAAGTGAGTGTACGTATGTGAATGCACGCATCACGCACGCATGTACACACACACACGAACATGCACACACATGCGTACGCACATGCCCACACACCTTGACTGCGACAGAACACAAGAGGAAAGGCAGACACTGAAAGAGAGGGTACAAAGACACAAGGAGGAAAGAGAGGCAAGACAGAGATGAATAGGAGAACCCAGACTCAGGAAGAACAGCAAATACAACCTCCCTCAGGACCACCTACAGAAGGACCTCAACCACGACAACCCCAATGCAACCAAACAATCTAGCCCAAAATCCACACATGTACCTGCTGCCCCACCCCATTGATCACAAACTCCACCCCCACAGCAACCCCCCCATGGTTCCCTGCCAGGTCTTCTACTTCCCCAACCCCAACATTCTCCCCAGACCACAGTTTTAGAAAAGAAGTTGAAGGTTTGGTATACGAATGCAGACGGAATAACAAATAAGTGTGAGGAGCACCATTAAAGAATCAAGACATCATAGCACTCACAGAAATGAAACTCACTGGGATGATAACAGACACAATCTTACCACTCAGATCCTGAGGAGCAGAGAGGAGGGAGAGGGAGTTGCACTGCTCATTAAAAACTGATGGGGATTTGAGGAAATGGAAGGAATGGACGAAATGGGCGAAAGGGACTACATAGTAGGTACAATTCAGTCTGGGGGATATAAGGTAGTCATTGAAGTGATGTACAACCTGCCACAGAACTGCAGGAGGCCAAGAGAAGAACATGAAGAGAGCAACAGAGCAATGGTGGACACACTAGCTGAGGTGACCAGAAGAGCTCACACAGGTAGAGCAAAGTTACTAGTTATGGGTGATTTCAATTACAAGAAGATTGATTGGGAAAACCTGGAGCCACATGGGGGTCCCAAAACATGAAAGCCAAGATGATGGATGTGGTACTCGAAAACCTCGTGCATCAACATGTTAGGGACACTACCAGAGTGAGAGGCGAAGATAAACCAACAAGATTGGACCTCATATTCACCTTGAATAGCTCAGATATCAAGGACATCACATATAAAAGGGCCCTAGGAGCTAGTGATCACATGGTTCTGAGCTTTAAATACATAGTAGAGTTACAAGTGGAGAAGGTAACAGGAGCAGGATGGGAAAAGCCAAACTACAAAAAGGCATGAGGCACTTCCTGCAGGAGATTCAGTGGGAAAGAGAATTGTTAGGAAGATCAGTAAACGAAATGATGGACTACATGACAACAAAATGTATGGGGGCAGAAGAAAGGGTTGTTCCCAAGGGCAACAGAAATAATGGGAAGATCAGAATGAGCCTTTGGTTTACCCAAAGGTGTAGGGAGGCAAAAACTAAGTGCAGTAGAGAATGGAAAAATACAAAAGACAAAGGACCCAGGAAAAATAAAGAGATTAGTCAAAGAGCCAGAAACAAGTATGCACAGATAAGGAGGGAGGCCCAGCGACAGTATGAAAATGACATAGCATCAAAAGTCAAGTCTGACCCAGAGCTGTTGTATAGCCACATCAGGAGGAAGACAACAATCCTGGACTAGGTAATCAGGCTGAGGATGGAAGGTGGAGAGCTCACAAGAAATGACCAAGAAGTATTAGAGGAGCTCAACATGAAATTTAAGGTAGCATTTACAGTGGAGACAGAAAGGACTTCAGGAAGTCAGAACAGGGGGGTACACCAACAAGGAATATACCAACAAGTACTGGATGAACTACACACATCCAAGGAGGAGGTGAAGCTGCTAAGTGAACTTGATACCTCAAAGGTGGTGGGACCGGATGACATCTCTCCATTGGTCCTTAGAGAGGGAGCAGAGATGCTATGTGTGCCACTAACAACAATTTTCAACACATCCATTAAAACTGGGCAGCTATCTGAGGTATGGAAGACGGCAAATATATAGCCCCCATTTTTAAGGAAGGAGACAGACACGAGGCACTAAACTACAGACTAGTGTCACTGATGTGGCACTGGTCTCTGCTGTCACTTATAAACGACAACCAGCAGAGATTCAGGGAAGGAAAATTCTGTGTCACAAACCTACTGGAGTTTAATGACAAGGTAATGGAAGTAAGACACGAGAGAGAAGGGTAGGTAGACTGCAGTTTCTTGGGCTGCAAGGCCTTCAACACAGTTCTTCACAAGAGCATAGTGCAAAAGCTAGAGGATCAGGCATGCATAACAGGAAGGGCACTGCAATGAATTGGGGAATAACTGACAGGAAGGCAACAATGAGTCATGGCATGTGACGAGGTGACAAAGTGAGCACCTGTGACAAGCAGGGTTCCACAGGGGTCAACCTTAGAACCAGTGCCATTTTTTGTATACATGAATGACATGACTGAAGGGATAGACTCAGAAGTGTTCCTGTTTGCAGATGATGTGAAGTTAATGTTTTTTTTATTATTAACACATTGGCCGTTTCCCACCAAGGTAGGGTGGCCTAAAGAAAGGAAAAACTTTTATCATCATTCA